GGGTTCCCTTACAAAGGGCTCTATATATGGGTTCCTATAAGGGTTCCTTTCTAAAGGGCGACCTCCATGACGCCGGGGATCTCCTGGGAGGGGAGCCCCAGTTTGTTGCGGAAGTCGATGACCCGAGGGATGAAACCGCCCTGGAAGACGGCCCTGGATCAGAGGTTTGGGGTTTAGGGCGGTTTAGGGGTTTAGGGTCTAGGGTTTCAGAGGTGTGTGGGGTTTTGGGTGTTGGGCTTTCGGGTGGTTTTTTTCGAGCTTTTGGGGTATTTTGGGGGTTTAAGGTTCTCTTAGGAGATGAAACTTCGTTGGAATGGAAGATATTAGTGATGGAAGGCTCAGGTTGAAGGGTTCGAATTTTAAAGAATTAGCTTTAAGGTTAGGTTAGGTTGACGTTGTCCTCTGGGTTTCGGGCTTAGGGCCTCAGGGTTTAAGCGTCGTGGGATTAGGGCTCGCAGCTCTCACCATTGTACTTTTTGCTCGGCATTTGTGAGATTCTGGTCGGGGCAGCATGTTGAAGTTCCCTAGCGTAGAGGCCACCCTTCATCCACATGCTTACACCTCCCCTGCTTCCGATGGGGCGGAAGCGGCCATCAGGACTCGAAAATTTGCGAGAGCATCGAACGCCCTAAACTCGGAACCGCCACCGTAAACCCTACACCACCTCACGGTGTTCAGCGTGAACCCTTAACACCACACCCTCCTTCAAGCTGCCTCACAGTGTTCAGGTTCTCCACCACGTGGAACAAGAGGTTCATGAAGCCGGGCCCGGAGGGATAGCCGGAAGGCGGGAAGTCTGCTGTCGGAACCTCGTGGAAGGGTGTCGAAGGGGGGTAGTGCTTCAAGGGATACCGCTTTGAGGGTTGACGTCTACGGTAAGTTTAGAGTTTAAGGTTCACGGTTCAACTGTTAGAAGCTCCGCTGTGCTTAGGCTGCTGAGGGGAGCCTGCCCATCGATGTCCGGACAGAACTTCAGCGCAAAGCACAGGATATTCAGCTTTTCGGCCACGTCGAGGCAGTGGGTGTTTCCCATGGAGGTGGTGACGATCATGTCGCACTGGTGCTCCAAAGCTGCCTCATAGATCTTCTCGCCTTCGGGCCAAAGCGGCCAAAGCAACTTAGGGTTTAGGGTTCTCTTTTCAGGGTTTAGGGTTTAGGGTTTAGGGTAACATATACCACTCTAGGGTGTTCCTTAAACCCGAAACCCGAAACCCAAGCCTAAACCGGTTTGGGTGCGGCTTGGGGTCGTGGCTTTAGGAGATGTAGGCTCAGGCTGAAGGTTCGGGGTCGAAGAACCCCCGAACATGAGCAGCTAGCCCCGCCCAAGCCCTTCATGCCCTCCAGCTACACTTTGGATCCCAGGACCCTCCTGACAGTCTGCTGTAGGGGCCTTGAGAAGCAGTAGTGTTGTTCCTTCTAGGCCGTCTAACTACATTCACGGCGTTTATCAACCCAAAACCCGAGTCTATGAAGGCCCCTGTCATCAACCACCCGGTCTCCTCATCCTGGTATCGATGCCAAGCTGCCAACTGTAGTCCAAGCGTCGCCGTACCAGCCCCGGTCCGCATACACCTGGTAGAACTCCCAAACCATAAGTATACTGGAGGGTATTGGTATGGGGGGCTTGTTGATTAGAGTTATTGTGGTATGAAACAGGGTCTGGGGTTTCAGGGCTGAGGGTTTAGGACCCAAACTAGCTCGAAGATGAATTCCGCGGCGTTTTTGACGTCTTCCATCCTAGGAACACTGAGAGCTGAGCAAGCATGCAGGACCCCTTCAAACCTCGACGGGGCCCGGGATCCTGCCTGGTCTGCACGGGTCTTGCCGGTGAGGTAGTCCTTCCAGGAATCTTCTGCGATACTCTGTCTTACTTGCGAGCTTCCAACCTCATGTCTAGCGTTCATGGCAGGGTGTTGTGGCGGGAGCTGCAGCCTTTCCTTCGCCCCGATCTGAACATCCTTCCTGGTGCATAAAAGGCAAAATCACACCTTTCCCTTCAGATTCCGGTCAGACAACGACAAGAAGGAGCACCCTCCAGGTCAGCACACCCAGCTGTCGCACAGAAGCCGAAAAACCACGAAGTCCAAATGCCGACGTCCGCAAACCGAACCGAACCCCCCACATCCAAACAGAAAAGGAACCCCATGCTAGTGTACCTCGGTACATGAAAATACTTGTATATAAGCTTATACCATCGGTTGCCTCAGTATACTATAGTCCCTCGTTCCTCCTCCCCATGCGCCCCAAAAAAGACCCAACTCCTGGGAGAGTGGCACCGACTCCAAGCCGGAGCTGCGGAAGTCGAGGCCAAATCTCGGGGTGCGTCGGGGCTTAGGGTTTAGGGTTCAGGGTTCGGGGTCAGGGGTCCCTAAACCCAAAACCCTAAACCCTAAACCTTAACCGTAGGGTTCTGTCAGTGATTCAAGGCTTGGATCGGCTTGGGGGTTTGGGCCTTGGGGCTTTGGGGTTTCGGGACTCAGAGCTAGGAGCGCTCTCGTTGAGGGCTCAAGGAAGGCGGGCTTAGGGTTGAGGGTTGCTGGCGTGTGATAACGGACTTTGGGGCTGGAAGTTCAAGGCAGCAAGAAGAGGAACGAGGAACGACCATAATAGACTATTCAAAACTATCGGCAATTATACTAAGAGGCACTGTCATCTACCAAGGTTTTTGAAATAGACTTTCATATGCTAAGATATACTATACGTAATGGGCCCAGAGAGCCCAATACCCCTTAATTAAGGAATATAGCTTAAATTATAATCTTAAGGCCCCTATAATTTAAGGTATATTATTCCTTAATCCCTAAACCCTAAACCCTAAACCCTAGGGGTGGACTAAGGCCCCTATAATTTGAGGTCTATTCCTTAATTAAGGGGCATTGG